TTTTTTTCTTTACATTTGTGTAACTAAAGTAAGACTTCTACTTGAAAACTCCTTTCTCCGTCTGGTCTGCTCAGTCCCTGACACACATGAGTTAGGGGAACACTCCTTTCCTCATATTGGATTTAATACGATGTTGGCCCTTTGCTGCTTCAGCAGTTTCAATTCTCCTGAGAAGGCTTTACACAAAGTGTTTTTGTGGGAATTGCTGATTGTACATTTGTGAGGTCAGACACTGATGTGGGACCAGAAACTCTGTCTCCCAGTTTTTGCTCTAATTCGTTCCAAATGATGAGGTCGGGACTCTGAGTCGGCAGGTTATGTTAATTTCCTCATTCATGTCTGCATGGAGGATTTTTTTTTTTTATTCAGTTGTGCAGCCATGTATTAACAAGACAAGGCAATTTTATGTGTACAGCACATTTCAGCAACAATGGTTCATTTACATGTGCATATTGTTTTGTACCATCAAAAAGCAAAATGTCTGAGTATAAATTTCCCATTTATGCACATGGAGTAGGTTATGTGTTACTTTCTGAAATCATTTATGTTTTTTTTTTATCTTTTATTCAACCCAAGAGCATTTAAAAAAGATGTTAGGATATAATATTTATGTAAAAGATCAGACTATCTTACTATCTTAGCGGACTAGTTAAAACAGCACTGTATATTTGAGAATTGAGAGATGTCTTCCCATCAGTAAGATCAGAACAAGCTTATTTCATTTTCTCAGCAGTTTAATTAACTTCCCATACAGGCAAGATGTACAATTTCTGGTCTTTTCCGAGCTGGCAACAAAAAACCGTGTCCTCAAATTGTTCTTCTTTGTTGTGACTTTGACTTTAACAGACATCATTTGAAAGCAATTACTGAGCCACACATCGAGCTTCCCTCTATTCTTAGTTCACAATAGTGCAAAGTCCTTAGTGGCGAACGAAGAACTACCATTCTTTCTCATTTGTTTGTCACTTTCTCCACTTAAACACCCACTATTTAAAGAGCTACATTGACTTGTCTTAGTATTTATCTAAGCTGTCTCTGCTGCTTCTCTCAGTGTTCCTCACTGTCTCTTCTGATTTGTCTGGGCACGAGTCTTTCTCTGTGTGTGTGTGTGTGTGTGTGTGTGTGTGTGTGTGTGTGTGTGTGTGTGTGTGTGTGTTTGGAAATGTGTCTCATCTGCGTCTGGTGTGGAAGCAGAACAAACGTCGTGTCAAGACAGCCATCATACATGTTGCTTTGATGGACAGATTAGCTGAGGGTCTGGCCACCAAGCTGTGGCAGGCTGGGTTGGCTCAGGTGCGCAGGTCAGAGTCCTCAGCCTCGATATGAGGGAGCCCGATGAAAGTTGCACCTACGTCAAAGGGCGATAAACTTTTGCTTGATGTCACGATCTACGTCAGGTCACTAGCCTTGATGCATCATTCTTATGCCAGTAGCACACTTTCATGGATCTGTGTCATGTTTATGTACGTTTTAAATGTACGAAATGGCAAAAGTCACCTTCAAAACCATCGGCGCTGCTGGTAAATGTTCGTAAAAACATAAATTAAGCTTCTTTTTTTTTGCAGCCCTGCAATATTCTCAACCTGAACATTCAAAAAGTACGTCACTTGAGCACATTCAATGGACAAGGGGGGGAATTTATTGGTAGGGAAGAATATTTTTAACCGGACTTGTTTATCATCTAAACACTTCCCACAAACTTCCCACAAACTAAATGAAACGGAAGCGTTTTTGTTATTTCCTGCTTTAAATGGATCGGTTCTTCTATTCCGACTGATCCCAGTGGTGAAACAATGCAGTCAACTTCGGTTTATTACTCAAATTGATGGAAAAGACGTTTTCCAAGAAAACCCAGCAGATTGCCACGAGTCATCGACTTGCAGCATTCCCTCTTCCTGGACGAGCAAGCAGCAACAAAAGGCAATCGCTTGCATTTGTGTCAATGACTTTACAGCAATCTAAGGCGTACGTAACAACTACTCTGACCGTGAATATATTATCAAATATATTCATGACGTTAGAGGCACGCAACGTGAACATAAAGTCTGATAATGGAGGGTAAATGTATGCGGGAGGTCTAACTTAATGCAAGAGGAAGAATTAGAAAGCATTTCAACAGGCTGACTCTCAAAGAATTAGCTGCATTCACAGCAGAGCACAATTATATTCACTGTCAGTCAGCCATGCACTGTGCCTAAATACCTTGTCTGTAAACGAAAGGCATTTCCACAATTATCGTCACTAATTACGAAGCCATTGAAATGTTGCATACTAAATGACTTTCTGTACATGCAGAAGCTACGCGGCACAATACAGCAATGGACCAATTCAAGTATTATAAGTGTTACACTGCAACCTAAAGACTGTTTAGAAGGATTCTGAAACTGTTCTTTCGAAATTATTTATAAACCCTTCAGTTTTTCCTCGTTTTATTGCACTGTACCACAAACTTCAGTGTATTTTGGGAGTCTGGGGGTTAAGAGATAGAACAACACAAAGTAGCACCTAATTTTGAGCATTTCAAACTTTTCCACGAATGAAAATCTTAAAGTCGCGGTGCGCATTTGTATTCAGCTCCTTTTGTTTTGATATTACATCCGTTGACAGTTTGCTGCGAGCCTTGTAAAGGCCGTGGCAAAAACGTGGAGAAAATGCTCTGGTCAGATCAAACCAGAATTGAATGTCTTTGTCAACATCCAAAGTGCTACCTGACAAAGAACACACCATCCCTGGAGTGAAACATGGTGATGGCAGCATCACGCTGTGGGGATGTTTTCCTTCAGAAGGGATAAACATACCTGTATGACCTAAACATGTTTGCTAATCCTTGCAAAGACTTAAACCTCTATATTCACAGATGGAGCTATTCTGCAAAGAAGAGTAGTAGGAGGAAAAGAAACAAATATTTGTTCTAATTGTGCATAATTGATACACACACTTACAGTTTCAATTTTGTCTGTCAAAACTTATGCAAAATAATAAATAAATAAAATATGTATCGGCATCCTTCCATTTCCAAATTTCTCACCACCTTGTGTTGGCTTTTCACGTAAAATCCCAAAAGAATACATTCAAGCGTATGGTTGTAACATAATACAACATAAAAGAAGCAGAAGGCTTAGCTTTGGAAATCTGCTTTATCTTTGAGTCGAAGTCTTGATCCAGCTCTTTCCTAAGCATAAAAGGATGGCTGATTAGGAAGGTCCAGCAACAACAATATTGGTCAACTTATCTTGTTTGCTTTTCTTTTTCTTTTTTTTTCTTTTTTTGAATGGGTTCGACTGGATACTCGTGTGAAAAGGGGAAGTTAAATTTATAACGCTGTTTCACCAATCTATTTGTTCCCCCTACGCCACCAAAACATTTGATGCAGCTGCTTCAAATGCAAACAAAGGGGACATCAGGTTTTGCTTTCATAAGCTTACGCAGTTTTGCAGTTCAGTGCTCTGTGTATCAAATTGGTTGACATTTTCCTTTTGTGTAACATTATCAACTAAAAAATCAGGGCTTCAAACTGCTTTTCTTAAAATTATTATCTGAGAACAGGTGAGATATTTCTCCGTGATTTGTTTGAACCCCTTCTGTTTGTGTGAGTTAATTTTATTTTGGAGAAATGACGTGGTGTCGACTCCAGTTAAGTCCCTGTTTACTTGCCAGTTATGCCAATTAAGTGTTTCCCTCTGCTCTAATTGTCGATTTAATCACCTGTGCTTGTGTTTGGATGCGCTGACTAAAAGATGTCAATCAAGCAGGGTGGGGTTGTCAGCGGCGGAAGAGAAGTGTCGCAGTTACATGCTTCAGCCACTGTCCAAAGGAAATTATCTTCAGCCTCCTTTACAGTGTTGCTATGGAGAGGCAATTAACCTAAATTGTAATTGTCTGAGACTAATGTGGTATAGCTTTCCCTCTTAATTTAATTACGTTTTTTCACTCTTCCTCATCTCTCCCCGTGTTCCACGCACGTCTCCCCTTGCTCACCTCTGTTCATGAAGATATGCGACCAGGATTGCTTATTGTGTGGTGGCCTGAAATCTCAGATCATGGACACACACACACACACGCACACACACACACACACACACACACACACAAACACAAACACACACACACACACTTTGTGCTGCAGACGTAAGCTTCCAGATGTGGCTGCATCCACTCCAGCACTTTGAATCATTGGAGACGCAGGTGCATCTGTACAACCCTTCAGGCAAGGCTCAGGACCGCCGGCTGCTCGGCATCATGACATACTAGTCCACATTTTACCACATTACAGCCACAGTTTATTTGACTTTTTTATTTTATGTAATAAACAAAAGACAAAGTAGCAAATAATTCTGAAGCGGAAGAAAAAGGATAACATCTCAGTTTATATGACAGGAATGATTTTTGACCATTCCTGTCCATAGATTCCTCAAGATCAGTCAGATTGTGTGAGTTGCATGTGCAAAATGTCAACTTATCCCAGAGCATGCTGCTTCCACCACCACATTTCACCGGTTAGGTGTTCTGTGAAGGGTGAATTTACTGCGTCCCATTGTGGCGATCCTTTCAACAATAGCTTTTGAGAGGCACCGTGACGCCGACACCGGAGATGTAGTGGCCAGAACCTACACTGTCCTCGGAGTAGGAACATCCGAGTGGGAGTAAATCCTCACTTAAATCTTCTTTAATTGTGTTTCCCTGCTAAAGACGCTGGAAACTGGGCCGCCAGTAGGAGAACACACGATGTTCAATCTGCATTCGCAGCGTGGAATAATGCAGCAGCGCGTCGCCGCTGATCTACCGTGATGAATGGGATTAATCAATCGAAGACAGTACATCTATCCATAAATTAAAAGCCGCGCTCATCGCTGCACACTGAGCGCCGTGGTTCTGGTGTTATTTTGGTGACGTGTTGCGTGGGTGGATTTTTCACAATAAGCACACTGTCATCACACATAAAAGCGAACCTCAGACAAATAATTAGGGAGCTGTTCAGGAAAATATCTAGAAAACTGCAGTGAAATAAATTGAAGATCTGTTACTTTATTTACTGACAAAAAAAGATAAAAAAAAACAAAAAAAAACAATATCCTTACATAGCTCAAGTTTGACTAAGCCATTCATTCTCATTGCACAGAAAAAGAGAATTTACACTGAAAACTACAATCAGCGGCAAAAGCTGTAAAATTCATTGCAACCAACTTCAAATCAGGGTTACATTTATAAAGTACAAATATACAAATCTTTGAGGTTATTTGCAACTAGCTGGAACAAACCAAATATTCTTTGCCTCTTGGGAAAGATACGAACTATAACGTATGTAATTTTGTATTTGATATGTTAAGAGCTGAACTATCTCCTCAGAAACGAACAGTACGACAAAGTAATTCAACGCAAATCTTGCAATTCATTGATTTTTGGTTTGTTTCTCAGAGACACCAGAGCTGCTTGCTTCGGCAGAGGAGCTGGGGTTTCTCGCAGGCGCGTTGGGTTTTCTTGCAGAGGTGCTGGGGTTTCTCGCAGAAGTGTTGGGGTTTCTCGCTGCCGAGCTCCTCTCCAGGCAGTCGTCTTCTCTGCCTTCAACTGAATAGGAACATCACAGCGATCGTGGGAATCGGATTGCGGACGAAGATGATGTGGTACAGACGGTAAACATGCAGCTGCAATCAGTAGTGGACGTACAAAGGATTTCTCAAAACGTGCGTCATGCGTCAAGATGCATTAGTTTACTTTTGAGATAAAAGCCCCTACTCTACACTCTGGCAGTAGCTGTGCACCATCTTCTACCGCTGCTCCACTGAGAGTCTTCACTTACTGCATGTATGGTTCACAAACTACACCAGGAGACACAAGAAGACTCTACAGTGGGTCATTAACACAATCCGGAAGATCAGAAGCCTTCCATCCCTAAAAGTCCCTCTTTGGGACTTAGCTTCTCAAGAGGGCATGCATCATTCTGAGGAACTAGTTCATACCTAGGACAAAAGAACTGCTGTTCTTGGATTGCAAATATAGAGGCCAGAGGTCACATGCTAATTGACTTAGGGACAGTTTTCACAGCAGTGCTATAATTCCTTACCTCACTTCTTTGAAGATGGCCATGTGCAATTCACAAGAGCAATTTTTATTTTTCTGATTTGCGGTTGCACTATTTAACATTTAGTTATTGGTCATTAATTGATTTGTGGCACTTCTGACTCTCCGCCAAAGAAGAGATTTTACATTTTCATGATTTTGTAAAACTGTCATTTGTTTATAAAATCTTGAAACTGCCTTAAAGCACTGATGAACATGCACAGCCAATCTCTCAGGGAGCTGCGAGATTTGCGTTTTTGTTTTCTTTCATGCCTGCTACAGATGGAACACAGAACAAATCAGTGTGGCTAAACACGCTGTATACCTGTCACTTTTACAGATTCATGCTCTTGCAAATTATTCTACACACCAACACTTTGCTGCTCTTTGCTGCCCTCACATGCCTCTGAAAGAAACTTTCCCCAGCTCTAATGGAAAGCCTGTGCTCTTCTCGCCTGTGCTGCTGTGGTCTTATGAAGGCCATGTCACTAAAATGTACATACTCCAGAGAACTAAAGAGCCTGAAAATTCCTTGAGACAGTTTGTCTTCTTGGGGAGAGTATATATGTCAAATGTCTACTGATGCACTAACTGTAAAAAAAAAAAAAAAAAAAAAAAAAAAAAAAAAAAAAAAAGCATCCACTTCTAGTTTCAAATAAAAAAAATAAAAAAAACTGTTACCTGCGCTGAGGACTTGCATAGCGAGGTAACCATCCAGCAAAGAGGTGAATCCTGTCAGACCCCCCATGGCTGCATAAGGAACATCTTTGCCAACAGGCTGACCTCTTGCCAGCCTCTCTTGCTTTGTCTCAACCTGTGAGGAATGGGGAAAGCAGTTTATGCATGAAATACTGTAACAATAAGCTGACAAAAATGCTCCTTCAGAGGAAGCTGTTGTCAACCATGACCACTCACCAAGGTACGGTGCTCAAAGGTGGGTCGACCACACCCGCAAGTGTAGGGACTGTGGAACCCAGAGCAGACTTTGCCTGAAAAATAACAGATTATTTTCAAGTAGGTTAAAAAGCATTGTACTGGGTTGTAGCGAACGCATCTTGACAGTAGGGATGTCTGACTCACACTTCTTGCACAAGTGGCCTGCAGCCTCACTGTGGTCCTGCGGTAAATGTTTACACTTGCAGCGCACCATCGCACCTCCAGGCTGAGGAATGTAGTTATAAGAAGAACAGCGACAACCGCTGACCTTGCACCGCAGCGCAATGGGTCGCTCAGAGGGAATCACCTCAAACTCTGTCTGATGCTGCTTGTATCTGGTGGAGGTTGATTCACATTGCAAAAGTATTCATACCTCATTTTTCCACATGTATGAAGAAGATGCATGTGTCACAGTCAGTCAGGTCACAAAGCAATATCCTACCTGTGTTCACAAAAGCACTGTGTTTCAGGGCCAATCTGCTTGCAGTCAATGCCCCCTGGTACACCAAAGCTCACATACAACCTGTTTTTCATACGTAGCGGTAGAACCCTCCTTTTGTACTCTTCATATTCCTCTGGAGTGAAAAGTTTTCCACCATCGTCATCGCCAACGATCCTTAAAAACAACTAAATGTCAATAAAATCTATAAACAGGTACAACACAAGCTTGAAAGTCAAAGGTCTTCATATTATTTAGGCATTTATATTTCAATTGTTCTAGAAGTTGCTCTGAACAATTGAAATGATGGTTTTTTCCCCTCGAATTCATGGAAAACTATTTCTAAATAAGTTAGTAGAGAAAATGTGTTGGTACATATACCTTCTGTACTCCGCATAGTCATCCACCGCTTCCAAAGCCGTTTTATTCTGATTTACCGGGGTCATTATCATTACATTAAAACAACAGCATTGCAAGTGATACTTGTTTATGGCCCGCAGCATATGTTGCTATGGAGATGGTTTTAGGGGTCCCTCTAATGTTCGCAAAGGGAACTGCAACAACTAATAGAAATAACATAAAATCTTATTTTAAACGAAGCAAGAATAGTGAAGAAAAAAAATAGGCAAACACAGGCAAAAGTCAAACATTAAAAAGCAACACAACTAGTTCTAGTCAGTTAGCAAAACTAGCTAAAAGGCTTCGTATTCGCAAACAACATCCTTCTCTAAGACGTGTATGAAAAGATAATAATTAATAAGTGGCGTTCATATATACTTTACTTGATCAAGTGCTACTTGTTGTGTAGTTTGTCGTTAATATGAAACACGGCGATCGTAAAGTTAGGTTATTTTCAACTGCCCCACAATAAGAATACATTTCCCACAATGCAACGGCTTTGACGTAGCCGAAGACGTTCCGGGGGATCCATGACAGTACATTACACGGTCCCATGCCTACAAGTACAGCAGCTGACGAGTTTGGGTGGTTGTTTTTTTTTTTTCTATCGAAGCTACCATCGCATTGTCGGCAGAGCAACGAAGCCGAAATAAGCAGTAAAGCGGAAAGCATATCCGGACACCTTGGTTCTCAACTGAGACTGTTTTGTTTGTTTCCCCCACCCCCCTTATTTAACGGAAATGGTGGCATGCCAAAGACATTTTTCCAGCGGTAGCGAAACGAGCCGCGGGGCGGCGAAGAGCAAGCATCATCCTTCTGATCCTTCCGGTCCCAGCACCTCTGCACCCTGTAAATTTCAAGGTATCGACTCAGGACACACGGTGGGGGTCATGCTTCTATTTTTAACGGGCTACACATATCTGGTGACAAGTGCTTTTGTATACTGTGCATTTGGAGAGCTTGTTGTGAGCTAACACATCGAGCTAACGCTGGCAGGAAAGCTGTTGTAAGTGAATTTGTTTTAAGTTTAAATAAATAATTGTGAATCCGCCAAGCTTGTCCGTATACGTTGGGCGTTTACATGTTGTCCTTTGGGTATTTTGTAAATGAGTCCAGACAGTTTTATCTCTTACTGGGAGTGCTCTATGTGCCCTTCTGGCCAAAGGCTATTGACTTTTCAGTATATATTGTACAATTTAACTGATTAAACTACTTGGTGATCCTGTCAGCTGTAAAATAACATCTGACAGCTGCTGTAGTCACTATTTAACTTGGAGGTTATCCATTTTGATTGCTGTGGTGTGCCTTATCAGTCTGTCAGGGAAATATGCTACATTTAAACTCGTCTTTAGTTATTTGTAGGATATTATCATACAAATTTTATGATACAATGTGACTAAATCAAATAAAACAGAAATCTATGGCACTAGATATGTCAAAACAGGTGTATTAAAAGTTGAAATTCTATGGTAGCTACTTTTAAATTATTTAAATTATTATTATTATTTTTTATTTTTTATTTATTTATTTTTTTTAGGAATTGCTATGCACGTTAAAAAAAATGTTTTGCATTTTTTAGAGATTAGAATAAATGTCATTAATTTACTTCTTGATCACTTTTTGTCAATTTTTTTTAAGGTGTTGAATATATATATAGCATCAATTGACTCTGAGATAGTAACATATTTATTGACACTGGATCAATCTGATCAGTTTAAGCTACACACAGAACCAGTCACCAGTACTAAGGTATTTAAAAATTGTAGTTTCATGACTACTAAAATGAAACGTCATACCTTTCCTACTCCTCCCCTGCCTGCAGATGTGCATTACTGGTCAGGTGTCTGAAAAACTTTCCACTGGCTTCCAGGAAACAGAAACTTCTGAAATATTTCTGGTCACAAAAATGCACAGCGTAGAAGCTAAAGGAGCACTTCCCATCTCTCCTATTTAAATTTCTAGTGAGATCAATAAAATATTTTTGAATTTGAAACAGCATTTGAAAACTACAGTCGTGTGCAGACTCCACAGCTCATCTACATAACAAGCTTTTCTAGCTTATTGAATTTGTGTATCTTTATCAACTAAATAGGTGGAAAGGGATTGATTATATATAACGCGCAATAACAAGCAAATATGATTTTTTTTTTTTTTTGCTGAGGGTGTAGTCCACATATTTTTAGGTTGTGTCAAAAATAATAAATGTCATCTATAATATTATTTCAACCTCAATAACCAATATGATACTTTTGCGTCAGTAGGAACTATTGTGACTTTCTTACTTGGAAAAAATGCAATTAGATCTTGTCCTACTTACGTAACATCTTTTGTGTTAACATTATGATATTGTGAAACCACCGTAGATTTATCATACTATGAAAGTATGACACCACCCCATGCCTGTTTCCGGACTTGTTTCAAACATCTTGCCCATGTATATCTATAGCTATCTCTGAACTAAACCAGGCCAGATGTAGTTATTGTATTGTGTAATTGTAACTAAATCTGCTGAGACCAAAACGTTTTCTAGGGCAGCCTTACGCATACAGTGTTGAGATGTTTTACACACTTTCACCATACGAATGCATCTCAAAGTCATTTTGGACTTTTAGAATGGCATTTGAAGCTTTTTAGTCTGCTTTTTTTTTTTTTTTTTACAAGAATTTCAGCTTGTCTTACTAGAATTATGCAAATGTTGTTTAATCCCCAGTTAAAATTATTCAAAAATGCTTAAAAAAAAAAATCAAAACTAAAAATACATACATCCCCACTTAAATCTGGATAAATGTTTTGAAGAAACCACACACTATTTCAGAGGATGCTGACCAAGATATGAGGGGGAATATTTTCCAGTCACCGAAGGCAAAGGTTGAGGAATTTGATAACCACGACTAAACATATTTAGAGGAATCAAAGTGAAGCTGTCAAACCTACAAACTCCACACTGACTGTTAACATGACATAGAGGATGGCGTATTAAAAAAGGAGGAGCACCTCCTGCCTTTTCCAACGAGATAAGAATCTCAAACACACATGGAAACAGGTTTTAAGAATATACAAAGCATGCTACCACGAGCCTCCTGGAATAGTCCTACCTGGAATCCTATGAAAATATGTGGGCTATGCTTCAGAAAAGTGAGATCTTTTATTAGAAACCTGTGTGTGTTTGAGAAAATTCACAATAAATTTCAGCCCGGTTTTGTTGTTTAGTAAAAAGATGATTATAGTTGTTCAATTTTGTTTATTATAGCCTTATCCAAGTGCATGTTTCACTGTCCAAAATGAATGGAGTACTATGAATGTAAGTCGGCCTTCCAGCAGCACTTCAGTTTGCAAATTGAAGAGTGTCGAACAGTAAAAATGGCTTTGTCATGCTTTTAGCTTCTTTTTTTTTTTTTTTTTTTTCGGTTGTTTGCACAGGTCAGAGGAAAGGACATGCATATCTACAAAAGCCCCAGTTCAGATTCAGATTGTGTTACCTCATCTTTTCATAATTTATAAATTCAGCCGCCGTCCCCTTTCTGAACCTGAACAGGAAGTGACACTCCCACACCCACAGAACTCTCCTGAGACCGAATTTGGTGACAAAGTTATGAAAACTGAGAAATGATCACCTAATTTTTATTCTCTATGTGCACATCGCCTCCTTAGCCCCTTATTTTCTTCATTTCAATAGCCATTGTGTGGCTGAAATGAGAAAAAGAATGCCCTCCACGATCCTTGTCTGTTGTCCGGTCTTCTTGTGCGGTGCTACAGAATGGGCCTCTATGAAATCTAAACTTGTAATTGGGTTTCTGGGATAAAAGGACTGAAAGAGATTTGTCTGAGTGGACTATTGTGCGCCCAGAGCCAAAGCAGCAGGAAAAAATAAAAAATAAACTCTAATAACAGAAAAGTAGCTTAGGACATAACTTTCATGCTGCCTTTAGCTACATAATTATAAAAAAAAAAATCTTAAAAATGTCATTTTCTATATCATCAGCTCTAAATAAAAGCTCTGTTTAAGCATAATAAAATAATGCTCTGCATTTGCATAGATTTTAATTGTGTGTTGTTTTTTTTTTTTTTTTTGTATTTTCTTTAGCATAGGTAACTATGCCTGTGGAGCCTGTACGCCATGACTGCATAGATGATTTGGTGTTCAAGATCTCGCAAGCAAAGAACTCCTCCAGAAGCTCCTGATCGCTGGTTTTTAAGGGCATCAACTTGCGTCTGGTTGCACTTCCTTGCTTCTGCAGTTGCTCAGCACTTGCTCACCTCCTCCACGAGAGGCAGGATGTTGGTAACTTTTGCAGAACTCTGACCTTACTGAAAGAAAAGGCACCACGTTTTCTAACTTTACATAATCGACTGCACATCAAAGGTCTTTGGCCTTTTGAAAGGCACCTCTACCACCACCACCCCCCCGCCCCATCCCTCTTTCATCCTCGCCCAGTACCATGCTGGGTGCACTCTTTCTGCGGAGGAACATGTCCCAGAAGCTGAGTGTGCTGCTGCTGGTATTCGGGTTGGCGTGGGGACTGATGCTGCTGCGCTACACCGTGCAGCAGCCTCGCCATCAGAGCAGCGCCGAGCTGCGCGAGCAGATCCTGGAGCTCAGCCGGCGATACGTCAAGGTCCTGACGGAGGAGAACCAGAACGCGCCGGGGGGGCCACAGGGAACGTCCATGGCAGGATATGGTAAGCAGTTTCAGTCAAAGTTATGAGCTCTAGCAGAAGTATTCGAACCCCTTGAACGTTTTTGTATTTTATCATATTACAACCAGAAATGGGACACTGCTGTAGACAGTTTATAATATTGGGACGAAAACAATTGATTGACTTCTGATTAATTGTCGATTAATAGCTTCTTGTATTAAAATTAGTTACAATCCATTAACTAAAAATGTCGGCTTAAGCCTCCTTTCCGTATGGTTGTTTGGCCGCCATCCAGAAGAGGGCGTCGCTGGTCATTCTTAAGCAGAGCCAGTTGATACAGAATAAAAGATGGCAGAACCATACAAGAACAAGAGTCCAGTGTGGGATGCAAAGACTTTGAGAACACTTGACAAGCTCCCTACGTTTTTCTATTCAGCAACTAAAACAGTTGCTGTTTTTTACATACATGTGTATTTTTATAAATATGTCTTAAGTTCAATAATGTGAGAAACCCATAATTTTATGGGGGGTTTTTTCAGTCAGCATTTAATACAGCTGACACTAAAGTGTTTTTTAATTAAACATATGATAAATTTAAATGCACTTTTCATACAACAGAAAATAGAGGTTTTTAAGAAAATGGCCGCCTGTCAATTAATCATTAGCCGATCGATGAGATCAATCAACCATAGATTAACTCATTAATCGTTAACCTGTATCCCTAATTGGGATTGTGATAGACTAAATAAAAAAAACAAAAAGTAGTGCATAATTACGAAGGGTGATTAAAGCGTCACAAACATTAATCCACTCTCTTTTTCTAATTCCGTCTGTGACCTTTCAGCTGACCTGAAAAGGACCATAGCTGTGTTGCTGGATGACATTCTGACACGGCTGGTCAAACTGGAGGGGAAAATCGAACTGGTGGCAAATTCCTCTTTAACAAACACATCCCATGCAGCAGCTGCAGCGCCAGCGGGGCTTCCCGCTGGCCTGCGGAAAGCTTCAAAGCAGGAGTCACCGGGGAGCCATCCTGGGATGTCGCGTCTTCATCCACACGTCCCCAAAAGACCTCGACCACTTTAAGAAGCCTCCCCCTCCGTCACTGCTCACTGGTGTATCGGCACCAAGTGATCGAGTAGCAATAGAGATATTCATGGATATCCGAAATCCTAAATTGCTGGATGTGAAAATTCAGCCCAGTTGGAGAAAGAAATGATGGACTTCTTTATTGTCCTGCATTTCCTGCTACATCGAGACTGATCTGTTCATATTTTATATTTGCATTGCAAACATTCTTTTTTGCCTTCATTTCTTCTTCTTTTTTTTTTTTTTAGGGGGTTTTCTCTTAACCCTGCAGCTTTTGAGCTTTTTGACTGTTAAAGTAAATGCAGAGAAACCAAAACAAACAAGCTGAACATTTAATTAGAAATCTGACAGCCTTATCTTAAATAGATTCACAAGACAAAATACTGAGCTCAACCTTACACTCATAATAATAATGAATGGCTATATGTTAGAGTTTTTAGGAGGGACCGGTAAATAAGATTGTTATTTTAGCCTGTGATTGTTAAACCTAAATAAAGTTTGCTCTTAAGAGATAATCCAAAGAATATTTTTTTAGCACTTCAGACAAGGCAATATAAATGTGTGTGTTTTGCAGTGAGAGTTGGTGCGGAAAGTCCGACCGCCGTAAGCATCTGTCCCCGAGTGTGTGGGCTTTCCGTATCTGTTGAAACCTAATGAATCCCATGTGCCGTTTAGAGCTGTTTGAATTGAGGTAATGAAGAACATTGAATGTACTGCGCCGTCGGTAGATCTGTATCGTTCAGGATTCGTGTTGCACTGTGATTATAGAGACTGTCTCAATACACTAGGCTCATCTCACTTGTGCTTTAGAAATGTTTAAAGGGGAGAGGAATATCCTGGAATGTTTGTTCCAGTTTTTCTCCTTTAGTTGCTTTCTGTATTGCTAATAAACTGGTGAAATACCTCACCAGTTCACTCATTTGGAGTTTTTTTTTTTTTTTTTTGAGCACTTAAATTGAGGCTATTTGGGGAGTTTTGTGTGACAAAGTCAATGTGGATCAAGAAAACACTATAATTAAAAAAGGCTTTGCTTCATTTTGTTGCTTGGAAATTTACAACTGAGCTAAAGAGGCTTGAATTACCAAGTGGTGCTTTGACGATAATGCTGTGATTGCTTCATAATCTTAAAGTGGTATATTAGATCAGCCAGCCACTTTGAGAACAATTTCCTTGTAATTTGATAGGAATCAAGTGTTTCCTATTTTGAATCAGTTCTGGGTCAAATTTTGTTTCAGAAGGCAATTAAAGTACTAATATACCAATTTATGGTCTGTAAATAATTTGCATTTATATTTTACACAGCAAAGGTATTCACCTTTCTTGACCATGTTCCTGTAAAAGCAAACATCGATAGCTTTTATTGTGATTTTATGTGTTGAACCAACACAAAGCAGTTCATAATTGTAAAGTGGAAGGAAAATGTTTGGTTTCCAAATATTTAAGAAATAAAAATCTGAAAATAGTGTCATGCATTTACATTCAGTTTCCCGCATCCCCTTTTGCTACGTTTACAGTCAAAGTAACGTGGTCCGTCTGGGTGGAATGTCTTTGAACATCAATTTTCAAGTCTTACCACAGATTCTGGATTTGACTGGACAAGTTCTGTTCATTTCACAAATGCTTTATTAATCCCAAAGGGAAATAAAATGTAACTCGTACTATCCAAGGTCCTTCAAGCAGTGGTACTAGTAGGATCCATTTTGTTCAGCAGTTATCTCTCTTATAAACAGCCAATGTGCTCCAAGATGATGCTGGTCATTTTACCTCTTTCCCTTTTCATACTTGACTCTTTTGAGTATAAATTGGGAGTTTCCCAGGAATATGTGTTTTGTAACAGCCAATGAAGATTCAAGGTATATTAAAATATTTCAAATCCAGGAGTAGGATTATCTCATACTCATAGTGTGCCCCAGAAAATGAAGTTGTGTGACTAAAATACATGAAAATAACCAGCAGGAGGTCACTGTCACTTAGTTATAGGCTTGCATTGTCATTTTTTTTATTTTTTTTTACCAGTTTGTGGTATAGACCATCTTGACCAGCAATTTGTCCTCTATTTTAAAGTAACAACCTCCCCATTATTTGTACCCAGGTCATCCACCAACTGACCTTTAAGAAATCTACACAGGCTCTGTGGAAAAAAAATAAAGAAAGAATAGGAATAATTTTCACATTGGGAAATGAAGCCTGAAGTGATTTTACTATCAGTCACTGACTACTGGATATCTGCAAAGCATAGAAAGTTTTTCTATGAAGTTAAGTTGCCTGCTGTGGAGAGAGGCACCAGTCCCTCCACTGTGCAGCTGGTTTAGACAGTAGATGGATGAATAATTAAAAAATAAAAAATCCAACCTACAGTCTGAGCTGTTGGGGTCTAGAAATTGATATTTTACCAATAAGGATGTTATTGTAAATGTACTAACGCTTTTTTTTATCGGTTAGAAATCCTATTTTTGATAACAAAAGGGAATTAGGACTCAGGAATTTGATTTGGTTATGTGTTAAAACTGCTTGCCATACCGTTCCTTTGCAGATAGCGGGGAGCCATTCAGAGCCCGGCGTTTCCTTGTTGTTGCAAAAATGTGTTTAGACCCAACCTACCTTATCCACCAATCACAGGAGAGCGTTTCCTCCCACTGTATCTCTAGCTCATCCACGGTTTCACAAGGAGAAGGTAAAAGATTTACGTTTTTTAACACGAAGAGACAGTAAACAGTCGACTGTATTGTAGCCTTCCTACCTGCCGCCATGTTTTTACTTGCGGGTAGTACTTAAGAACCTATTTTAGGTTATATTAAATATTGTGTTAGACCCCATTGCTGTTCGTTTTATGCTGAAGCTTGTTTTCAGTTGCTATACTACCAGTTACAAAATGACACTAACGACCTGAAACGATGAGATAAGGTAAGTAGTCATACGTTGTACATTTTCTTCCTGTTTTATTTGTCTGTTTTAAGTTTATATTAAGGTGGTATAATAAAACAGTGATTTCGATATTATCTGGAGTCTTTGTAAATGTCTCTTCTGTATTTAGCTCGTGACGGTTATGGACTCATTATATTCGGGAAAACCAACACCATCCAGTGTAAAATTAAATTGTTTCAACCCCTGTGTTGAAACAATTGTGCAGGTCCACCTATACACAGGGCAGGTAATGGTTTTGCCTGCTTTAGGATTGACAGATGGAGCTATAAGGATTAGAACAACATCGAAAGGCTGGTGTGTTTCAGTTATTGAAACTATAAGGATCCTTTACACCGATTGATAACGATGTATTCGAAGATTAGAACAGTTTTATATTTCATAAAACCAATAAAGAAGGATTTATTTTATTTTAAAAAGTAGGGTTACTATATATGAGTATGTCCATGTACTGTATAGTAAATGCATTTGATCCGGCTTCCCTTTGCATGAATTACTGTATCAGTGTGATGTGGCATGGAGGCAATCAGCCTGTGGTTCTACTGAGGTGTAATGGAACCTATGAGTGCTTTGATAGCATAATTTGGGTAATTTCCATTATTGCAAATGGAGTCTCCATGGACTGTAGACTGCCTGTGGGGATTAAGTCAGGTTAGGTGATATGAAAAACTTATCAAAAAACCAGCTCTTGGGACTTTTGCTAGTGTGGAGAGACACCAAGTCCTGCAGAAAAATGAAATCAGGGTTATGGTTAGCATTCGTCAGCAGAGGGTAGCAGGAAGTGGTATAAAATGCAACGTTAGATGGCACTAGTCTTAATAAGACCAGCCAAATTATTCTTAACTGAGAACAATTCACAGTGAATTTCAAGCAACTTGAATTATGTACTTCTTTGCTCTTTAGAGACAGGGAGCTTGATTTTGAAATGAACTGCAAAATTTAGTTCAATCTAAAAAGAGGGGTTTGTCCTTCCACTGGTGTAAACGACCAGCTTATTAGCAATGGCCTTTTGTTTCTCAACCTCTTCGTGGAGGTTGTCAGTAACAGTCAAGTCTTTGGTGAAATAATGTGTCCAATTTTTGCGCCTTGACTTAATGGATTTTTAAGCTTTCTTTCTAAGGAGTACGTTTATGTTTCGATAAGCCCTGCGAGCCTTCACTGAAAAGCTTAAAAAATGCTTCATACTTGTGATTTTTAACGTTTTACAGATTGTGAATTATTTAAGTGGAGAAGATTTCCTACCATAATAAAATTTCTGAAAAGTCAGTACAAGGTAAGCATTTTTTTTTTCCCTTTACATCTACTTTACTTTAGGGTTCTGGGGAGTCAGTAACTTAAACATATAGGCTTTATGATGTTATTTATAAAATATATGTTGGGTCTATTTGCTACGCCACAACTCCTCATAACCTTTTAGGGTAACGCTGGTCCGAGGAGATGTTACTCAGCTAAAGCTTGTACGCATCAGAATATGATCCACTTTGTTTTGTGCCTCCATTGTTTGTTTAGAATTCTTTTTTTAAATATGTGTTCAACAGCATAATTAAAACTACACTGCTTAAATATATTTTAATTATATTTAAAAACTACAAAAATTAAAATTGAATTAAAAAACACTGTTTTATGTATTTATTTCCATTTCAGAGTGTCCCATAAATACTCCCTTGAAGGAACGGTTTTCTTGATGAGTTAATGGCATGGGAAATGTCAGGCTTTTTGTTTTTATTAGCTGTGATGATGTAGATTTGCCACAAGATGTCAGTATCGTCTTATATTCCTTAACCAAAGAAATGAAGCGTCTTCATTCGAAAAGGATTTACTCTGGGAGCATTTGCTTTTGGAAGTTAAATTTCACCAAAAAGGAGATGTCGCTTCTCCTTTCCCTCCTCTTCCTCGGACAGTAAGAGCTGGAAATGGATGAGGGAGCCATCGTCGGAGTAGATTATTCCATCTGGAACCTCCTGAAATCCACAGCCTACAGCCATCCTGCTCAGGAAGAGCAACGATGATGTTAAGCTTGGACTTTGCTTCACTTTTTTGACAGTGATATCATTTAGCTTTGACTTGCTGTTAAAAGTGTAGAGAGTGTGGCGTTTTCAGTCGATTTTAAAAAGTCTTTCTCACCTTGTTTCACGGCAAATGAGGTGTAGAATTATCCTGACAAATGCGGGCATGGCAGATACGAAAACATCATTTAGACAAGTTATGATTTGTGAGTACGAACACAACAATATGCTCTTACCCTAAAGGGAAATTTTCTCTTATTGTCTACCTTCTGCTGCAGGGGGTCTCCATCATCCTAATGAGGTAGGCTCTCCTTTACTATCGAAAAGCGTAAATTGAGATCCTTTCTTGTGCCGTTTAGGATGCAGCGGCATTAATAGCCTCGTACACATAATGAAGATAAAGAAAGATCAGTTTTATTTGTACTCTGCAGCAATAAAAGTAAATTTCTCGTTCTTTCCACAGGCGAATACTGAGCAGCTCCATTCAGAGTTCAGCCTCCCCTCTCTCTTCTTCTGTGGTGCTCTAAAGGAGAGATTTAAATTTGCAAGTATTCATCAACAGATTTCTTGAAATCAAAACTTGTTGACATGCATTAGACGTCCTGAGCCTCATCCTCAGGCTTACAGCATTTTTTTTTCTCCCTTCTTTGTGTTTTGCAGCAGATATTAAAGTTTTTTTTGTGTACCGATGATTATCCCGACTGGTTGCGCTTATTGCTTAAGAAGAGGAAACAACGGGGACAGTTGATTTTTATAGCCTGTGTCTGGTGAACATGTTTAACGGCGAACGTCACAGATTTACCTCTCCGTTACTTCGCTTTGACTTTTACAGTTTACTGGGCTATAAAATAAAGTGTTTTGAATCAGTAGCTTGGTTTTTGTTCAAATTTAGTCGCCTTAGTCAGTTGACAAATTTCCAGTGTTTTAAACGATTTTATATTGTCCAATTGAAGCACCAAACTGTAGTTTGCATAGCATGTCCCTTTTTTTTTTTTAATCAATCAACATTACTTCAGATGTAGATTTTTATATCTTTAGAATACCATGTCATGATGAGACTTTTCCACTTGCTTTACTATCTTGTCATAAAAAACTCTGACGGGCTTCCATACAAACATGCATCAGCTGGCATCACAGAAGGCACAGACAACTTATCAATTCTTTTCATTACATCCTAAGGTTTTTCTTTTGCTTTTTTCCTGTTTATCTGCATGTTTTTAAGCAAATTATTCCTTTTAAAGGAGTTTACTTGTATGCTGTCCCCAGAGATTACCAATGCTTAGCTGATCAGCTCTGGTCTTGCGCCTTTTGTGATGTTATCAAACCTAATCTAATCATACCAGATTTTTTTTTTTTTCCGGTTTGGTACGATTAAGAACTGTATTTTGTGAAATCCTGCAGTACAAATCCGTACTTCTTTTATTTCCAGTTTTATTGTCAGTGAAAACAAAAATATACACCATTGGACACTATTTTTAATGAAAACAAGAACATGTGCAGAAGACGTTTTCTCAGCGTTTTATTGGGAGCTTTCAGGCACAAACAGGAGATGATGAACATTACGCTGCGTTTATGTCAAGATCGAAATGATGTAACTTTCAAGTGTTTCAAGCGAGCTTTTTCCCTCTCACCGTGACATAAGTTAATAACATGCTGTCAATAAATTACGTAAACAGAGCTTGCTATTAACTAAACTGTGCCGGAAGTCAAAAAGAAAAAAACATACATACAGGTCACACCTACTATTGAAATCCTCGTCAATTCGCTGACGTATATTTGTTTGTAATTTTTCTTCTTAGAAACCGGGAGCAAAAAGCATCTCTCATGTGAGTGGGCTAATTAAACAGGTAGACCGTTAAGGAATGGAGGTCACTTTATCTGTAGACCTTGCTCCACTCAGAGGGAGTCAATAATCACTGCTGACACGTCCCGGGGGCCTCTCAGTGTTCTGCATTCATTCATACAGGTTCAGAGATAAGTCATAAGGCTCCAAGGTAGATGTCGAAGTGACACGAGGTTCAAACCATGCAGTGTCTTCCAATAAAGATTTAATTAGGTCTCTATGTGGTAATTGAGGTTTCCCATCTTGCTTTCCAGTTGCGTTCTTACAGAACTGGTGAAAGTTACTGTTCCTTAAAGTGAAATACCGTCTACCATCTCTGAGCAGGTGCAAGTGGAGTAAAGAAAGGCAAAGGCAGGTTCTTGCCTAGATTTTTTTTTTTTTTTTTTTTTAGGGTAAATGTTTTGTTTTATGATCTTGGTCCCCCCCCCCCCTCTACATTAAGGCCACTCAATGCAACAGGTATAGTGACAATAGCTTAGCATCTGTAGAGAGGAATGTAAAAACTGGGAAGGGAGTTGTGTTGTTTGGAGTGTATTTAGAAATTTGATGCAGAGGTTAATGAAATCCTTCACAATTGATAGAATTTGAATAGTTTGCAGCTGAGAAAGTAAATAAAGTCAAGGACCAGATCTATATTTTAAATCCAGATTATCCCCTACGTTCCAACAATTTCGTTGTAACAAAAGTAAACATTAAACATATACGTATACTAAGAGCTACGGACAAGACTTTTTCTGACAGCAGGAAACCATCGAAAACACTGCAAATGTTGGCTTAAAACAAAAACTGGTGAGAGATAAAGATAAAAACATCACTTCTGCTCTGATTGTGTTGAAATAATAGACGTGTTATTCTGTATGCTTTGCTGGTCTTCTTTTATAACAGAAATACTTTTAATATGGCGATACAGACCGAAATCTAACATTTGAGGCATGTAAAATGAGAAATTTAATTGTATCATGAAAACTAGATATTGAAAGGGGTTTATAACATTTTTTTTTTTTTTCAAATTAAAAATGGTGCTTGGATGCCTCACAAAAGCTTTATTTTGCCTTTGTTTTCAACAATAAGCTAAATTGTGTCAACCTGGGAAAGTCATTTGCCATAAATTTGAGAATATGCTTACAATGACTTTTATGCAAACCAAAAGGTAAAAAAACAAAGAATTATCACAGCACATAAAGGCTTTCTGGATCCAAACAAACTTGTGAAAACTGCCTAAATACTTGCTTTCATATTTCTTAAGAGTAAAATTCACACCCTATTACCCTTAAAACTTTTGCATAATTTTTAAGTTTCAGATCCTGTGAACAACTGCTTCACATCTATTCAAACAAAAACAATTAAATGCATTCCAAATTCTTTAAATTGTGCATTTAAAATCCCAATATTCGCTGCCTATTTCATATTTGGCAGCTTGACACAAAACAGTATTTTTTAAATATTATTCTTTTGGGTGTGACAATGCAAAAACTGATTACATTTAAGGTATTTAGGAAGAAAAAAAACATGAAAGCAAATTTGGCTCGCCAGACAAAAATGAAAACAGTAAACAAGAACAGAGGCAGCAGCCTGGAGGAGAAAGTTTTCCAACAAGATTAGCACAGAGCTGCATGCCAACGCATGGCCGTATAGGCTGCACTCAGGCTGAAATGTGTGACAAAGTCTGCAAATATCCGTGTGACCCTTTGAGAACACACACTTTCAGCAGAGCAGGAACATGTGCTGCAAAAATATGCCAGAAAAAAAATATTAAAATTCTGCCCTCTCAGAAGTTTTTTTTTTAAGTAACCACATTTTATTATTCGACAGTAAGCTTAGAATTTGTTCAAATAAAAGAGAAGCAAGAGAGTTCTTGAATGATTATTCTAGACACAACATCATTTGCATCAAAATTAGATCAGATCAGTTTGAAAGTTTAGGAAAAAATAAATAGACACTTGTTGCCCTCTGAACCCAAACAGTTGTATAACGGTGGCTGTTTTTAGCTTTTATGAGTTGTTTTAAAGCAAACTAAAGTGTTATTCTTATTGCAGTAAAATAGGATCATGTGTAAATAATTTTGACTTGCCATAAATATCTGAAAATTTACTCTTGTTCAGCTTTTTGCAAATTTTTCAAGAGTAGAAAACAAAGCGTACAAATTCTCTACTTGGCTGAATCTCTTCAAATAATAAAAAGAGTTCTGCTGAGACACAAAAGCAATTTTAACCATTTTCTTGCTGCAAAAGGGAGATTTCCGTTTTTGCTTATTGTTTTGAATGAAAGGGTTGGGGGGGACAACACCCGCCATTTTCTGATGGCTCTCAACACACAAAATCTGAGCAGGAAACAATCTTTTTTTTTTTTTTTTACATTTTTCTCATAGTTTTGGAAAACGCCTTAATGCAACAGAAGCCCTTCTGCTTACACCTTCAACTGCAGCTGCCTTAACACCAAGATTGTTTGCATCAGCTCAGTTACTGCAAGACTCTCCTTCAACATGGCGTTCACAGCCAGTGCTCCCTCACTCTCTGGCTGTCCGAAGCGGTCAGTCGCAGGGTTTAAATGGTGCCAAGTTAAATATATACATGGAAAGAAAAGGATTGATTTAAATATATATATATATATGTATATTTAAAAATGTACAGTAAAATAAAAGCAGTCTCACCGGAAAACAGAAGCTCTGGATTCACTGTAGCCTAATGGGGGTTTGTTTGCGCTTTGGAGACGCAGACTATATCTTGGAGAGAGGCCAATAACGGCTCAAAGTTGGGCTATAAGCTGCGTTTTACTTAAACAATCCACCTCCTCCCCCCTCTTTTTCCTCCTCCCTCAGCCCTTTCCCCTTCTAGAAATATCCTCCCCCGACCGAAAAAAAAAAAAAGTGCAATAGCAGCTCGATTTCTAGGTCTAATCTACAGCAAACGCACGGATCTTCCCCACACAGGATGCAGCTTTGCTCTGAAACTTTACGTTAGTTTGCACCCCCTATGGAATTTGCCCTGAAACTCGAAGAAGGAGACATGGGGGAGGGCGGGGAGACTTTTTCTGTACATTCCTCAGCGATACATTCACTACTCCTCCTGCAGAGTCTCCCCACTCAAACACACACACACACACACACACACACACACACACACACACAGAGTCAGAGAGAGGCTGCAGCCATGCATCAGTTCATTTAAACCGACAGGGCGAGGAGAGAGAGTGCAAATGGCTGCTGTCTATACATCCTGGAGCAACACAAAGAGCACAATCTGACACTTCCCAACCGACGGAGCACCTTCTGTGTGGCTGCCATTGTTTTGGATAGCGGTGGAAATTATTAAAGCTTGGCTGATGGTGGGGGGGGAAAAAATTGTTTTTGCCTATATTGCTTAAACGCTATTTAAATCGCTTACACGGATCGACAGGGAATAAATGTCTTAATTTGAATTTGATGAAACAATTCTTATGAGACTGTTTAGGAGTTGCAAACTTCACTAGACGTATCCTGTATTCAAAAGTTTTAAGGATCTTTAATTAAATGCGTTATCTTTTTTGTAGTAGCAGTAGTATTTAAATAACCCTGCTTAATGAGAGCAGCCGCAGGGAAAGTAAAGGGCGGCGGGAACTTCTTGAAGAAGTTGTGAGAACCGTTAGAAAAAGCGGCCCGGATCTGGCGTGTTTCGTTCCATCTTTAGGGTTTACGACGAAGCCGAGCGGAGGAAACACGGCCGGAGACGCACAGTTGGCGCGCTGATTCATATAGAATAGTTGAAGCCGGGGAGCCAATGAGCGAGCGCGGCTGAGGCCGAGCCGGCAGCGGTAGTACCAGGAGGCTCCGCGCCGCGCTGATTGGTCGAGCAGGTTAGCCAATCGGAAGGCGCGGGGTGTTGGCTCAGGAGCAGGGAGAAGGAGGAGGAGGAGGAGGAGGAGGAGGAGAACTCTCCGAGGCAGACATGGCCCCTAGAGTCTGAGCCGCTGGGTGAAGGGCCCACTGAAGCAACACTTCCCCTTTGTAACCTGCTTTTAGATGAGTGTGCACATGGAGATAAACACAGCAGGGATATACAGTAGCTTTCAAAAGTCTACACGCCCCAAGTTTTGTGACATAAAAAAAGAATCCTAAATATTTTCATTACTTTTCCCCCCCACCATGTGATTTGAAATGTACCTTGTCTACTTTAATTTAAAAACAAACAAATCTGTAAGCAGGACTACTATAAAGAATGATAAAACATATACAACCCAACAGCACAAGTGTACAAACCCTTAATACTTTGATTAAGCTTATTCAATTTCAATATTCTATCTTGATTAGTTGGAATCTTATCATCAAACACTCATTTGCAAAAGTTCAGCAACTCCATCAGATCGTGAGTACACTTCACGTCCAGTCAATAATCCAGGATATTGTCTGTGGAATTTAATTCTAAATTCTGTCTTTTTAATTTCAAAACAATTCCCCCCTGCCCCCCCCCCGTTAACTCTTTAGTTTTCTCTGGTGTATAACTCCACTCTGAAGCTGACGAATGAAACTTCTTGTCGTCGTCAACACCTAAAACGTTTAGGTCAGAAATGACTAGTATTTTCAACCATTCATAATTTTAACTTCACAATGCTGCCGCCGCCGTGTTTCACTGTGGCGGTGGTGTTCTTTTGTTCATGTTCACTGTTGTTACTGAGACAAATGTCAGAGTCATGGCCCTAAAGTTAAAAGGTTGGCTTTAATCAATTATGAGACATGGTCCCACAAACTTTTAGAAAATATTTTGCAATTTTTTTGCAAGTTTATTTTATGGAAGAAAAGACTTTGAAAAGTTTTACTGCCCCGACTCTTTGTCCAAGCATGAGGAGAACAGTGAACATTTTTATCATGTCTAGAAAAAAAACACTGAACTTTGCAGAAATTTCTGCCGCTTCATCAGGGTTACTTCCAGTCTCTGTGCCAGCTTCAATCCTTTCAGCCATTTTGAGGAAACCTCCAGTTTCCCATAATTTGTTCCACTAATCATAACTGTCTTTATTGTCCTGTTGTTTTTACACAATGCAGTAGATTTTTGTTCCTTTCTCCAGGCTGATTTGTACAAGACCATTATTTATCTGTTGTAAACTCTCAGCAAACTGAGGCTTTAGCCAAATTACTCAATGAGCAAATGTTACGCAGATTCTTCTGGGACAGCTGAACTTTATTTTGGGTAAGCGAGATTCAACAAGTTGGGCGTCAGTGTGTACCATGGAAGGCTAAAGGCTGACCTTCTGCAAAAAGGTGTTTTGGCAGATCTACCGGGTGGCTGCAACATTTTTTTATGTACTTTTATTTTTCTTCATTTCTCAGCTGAACTGAACAGGTTGTAGGTTGAAACGAGGCTTGGAAAATATTTTGAAATTATTTATCATAATATAACTTTTTGCATCACAAAAACCTGCCGTATTGATCATTTATTGCTTAACAGTAACCAACACCAATTATCCAGCAGCTAACAGGTCAGGCATTAGCAAGGGCTTCCTGGCACAATAACCCTTAACCCAATTTTTTTTTTTTTTTTTTTTTTTTTTATGAAAATCTCCTTTTATTAATTATTTTTTTGGGAAAAAAGAAGGGGGGAAGAGCAAAAA